CGGCCTTTTTTCAGTACTATACTGGGATTTTTCTGTAGGAGCGTCGGCAGCAATTCAGCAGAATTCTTCTCACTTTCGTGGAAGATCTTATATAAGAATTGAGTAAGATTCTTATATCAGAACCGATCACTAGGTCAGTTAAAAACAAAGATAAAAGCAGAAAACAGCTATTGCGAGCGAATTTATACAAATCGCGACTTTCTCGCGAGTCGAGGGAGAGTCGCGCCGCGACAGCAGGACTCGCACCGCGAGAAAGGAAAATCGCGATTGATTAACTGATAAAAAACGCGAGTCACATAGCGATTAAAGCGAATGTATAGAAAAACTCGCGTTTCATCGCGACATTATAGCGATCGCGAAATTAGCGATTATAAATTATTGTCTTAAAAAAACTTTTTTTGAAGTTTTTTCCATTAAACCATAACAACAGACCATTGGCTATAAAGCACTACATCAATGATTTTCTACAATTATTTTTGACTGAGGTATAAATTTTTTAAAATGAGGACTAGGACTCTAAATTTTAATTAATATTGAAACTTAATTAATTAACAACTCAGTGAATATTTATCAGTTCATCGAACGAACTGAAGGATATATGTAAGCAGGTGTCCTCTGCAAACTGACATATTTTCTCAATAATTATGCTTTCGTCCTCTTCTTCTTTTGAGATCTTTCTCCCATTGTCTGAGGTTCAATGTTCAATTTTTCTACGTAGATAGGTAGAAAATTTTATGATCTATCGGTCTCACTCATTTACAACTGCATGCAATATTTCTACTACGTCAACTGGAGTCATAATTAGCTCTCAGCCGCCTTTCCAATTTTTTCATATTAAATTAATTTTTTTACTTAATGAAAAATTTTTTTTATATAAAAGGTGCAGATTTAATTCTGTGTAAGATAATCAGACTAAAACCCTGGATTCAGAACGCTTTTATAGTTAAAAAACTGTTTATATAGTTAAAAGACTACAGTTTGTGAAAAATAGGCTCAAAAGTTAGGTTGTTTTAGATTTTTCAGTTTTTTGCACAGAGAAATTTTGCTAGAAGACTTAACTGCAACATTACGAAAACTATGCGACAAGATGCAGAATATTCCGATGAGTCTTTTGATATTTTCAAAATTCTTATGAAATGTATTTTCGGAGCAAGTTTTTTTTATTTTCAGTGTGTCGCTGTTCCACAACTCAGCAAAATATTGAATGGTGCTCAAACGAGAAATCAAAGACTTAAATACCAGATGTGTAGTGAATCTAAGTTTCGATCGAATGAGACTAGAAGCAGATGTTTAGGTCACTCGAAAGTGTTTCAAAGACTGCCGGGTGACTGTTGGACCGTCCAGTGCAATCCTACACAAGTTTCAGGTTTCCATATATCTCGGTCCGCCATTCTCTGGAAAGGCACTTTTCTCTGTTCTGAAACCTCTGGGAACTCCAAAAAACCTTTAGGCGTATGTAATCGACTACGCTGATCATCGTGTCAACGTTTATTTTGTTTTCCAAATGAAAATAATGCGAATATTTTTGAATATAACATGCGAAAATTCTTTTGGAGAAGTCTCCAGTTCTTCAGGAAAACAGATCAAGTTCTTTTGGAGATCCTGGAGTTTTTCAGGAAAAAAGATGAAGTGCTTGTGGAGAAACCGTGCGTTTTTGGAAAAATAGATGAACTTCTTCTGACAGTTCAAGTGTTTCAGGAAAAAAGATGACCGTCTTGTGAAGAAATGTCGAGTTATTGGGAAACTTTTTTAGAAATGGGACACCCAAAACCTATAGGAAAATTTTTTCTAGCGATGTGGATTACTTTCAGATCATATGTCCGCCTGCTCTCGCAAACATGCTCACTGTGAGATATTTCGGCTTTATTCTAAAGACATTATCAGTCAAGTGTGACAAACGATAGTTGATTCTCAAGATAGAGATCAAAACATAAAATAAAATCCAAGTATGTAGAACACAACGACTTTCTCCTTTTTTTCTCCTTTCACCTTTATCCGTATACTACATGATGTGTCATCAAAATACTTTAAGGTCAAAACTTTTTGTGAAGAAGTCCTTCTTTTGTTTATACGGTTGCTGATCATTCAGGATATTATCTATTATACAAGCGCGCTAGCAATGCTTCAAGAATGAACGCCGATAAGTCGTATAAAAACTTTTATTAAAGATATTATCTAGCTATAAAAAAAAGGAACATAGGTGAACTCAATCTATTTTGAGCTTGGCCACTACATTTTCGTAAGTTATTTATTTGTTCGGTTGTTCTATCTTCGTTGTCGATGAGATTCTTCATCATGAACGACGAGTATACCCAGAAAATAAAATATATGTGGTTGGTTATGTATGAAAATAGTCAAATCCCATTTCGTACGAAATCTCCAAGCGAGACGCGTAAATTGTGCATAAATAAAATTTTTTCTTATATCTGTAAATACAGTTGTACGTGAACGCCTATTTCAAATAAAAGAAAAACATCGCAGTCAGTAAGTTCTGTGAGATCATATTTTGCATATAACATACTATACGTACATACATATTTGTATACGCACAAGTATGTATAACTCCGTCATTTTTCGAACCTTTTTGCTAGGCTCAGCTTTTCTCATAGATTCAGGCTATGTAACAAAACGATAGGTCATTTTTCGCCTTCACATTGCTACTAGATAGCATGTTTGATCAGCTAGCGAAGTGACTCTTACGAAGCTCATTATGCGTAATCAACACATTTCTCCCTGCATTCATGAGATTCAGAGACTCTAGAATACTACCAAGATCACCCTTTGAGCGACAAAAAAAAGCCCTATGCGGTTGCTGATCATTCAGGCTATTACGTATTCTACAAGCGCGCTAGCACTGCTTCAAAAAATGAACATCTACAAGTCGCGTAAATGAAGTGGGAGATATTATTACCCCGTGAATACTTTGCCAGTCGGCTTTGAAGGCTTTAGTTGAATTAATAAATTTTCATTTTGACTATAACTAACGTTAAATCTATGTTCGTGTATAATTTGCCCATGTGTCACACTGCCATAGATCCAATCATCATCTTTTTCCGTTCTTTTAAATTTAAACTGACAATGTTCCCATTTGTGTTTGGCAAATACTGAGCGCATTTCATCTGCTTCAATTACACTCACCATATTTTTTTCCAATAATTCCTTATCATTCTTAGTATTTCTCATATCATATACACGAGCAGTAAAAAAATTATCATAATTTTCTGATTGAATACGATAGAGTACTTTCCTTTTACCTTGAGTATTATAAACACGCAGCGTAGAGTGAGTACCATTACTGAAAAGATCTTTTTCTACACGATATTTTGTCTGATTATTTGGTTTCTTTTTTATAAATATACCTTTGGAGAATGTGAGAAGAAGCGTTACGATGAGTAGCAGAGTAACATTTAACAACGCCATTTTTTACTTCAGTTGCAAATGAAGAAGTAGAAACGTTGTCTCTTTTTATGTCTCTTCAACTTCTATATAGGGAAGCAAGGAATAAAAATAATTGATTGATGACAAACGCTGTCCTGGCTGTTATTTTATGTCTTTCTTCCTGGCTTTCTAAACAGACGTACTTAAGTGGCACAAATACACATTAACTGAGAGTTACATGTATGCTGTTCGTTGAATTTAGATTCTCATCAGTTGAAGAGCAAATGAAAAGAGATGATTATTTTTTCCTTATTACCCGACAACTGCGTTTACTTAATGCCATCAGAGCCTCCACTTGGATTATAATTGTTTGTTTGTTTTTCTTTTCTTTCTCTAATAACAGACACTCGTTCTAGATACATGAATGCCATTCATCTGTCTAGAACGCGATGCCAAACTTAATTTGATGTTGGCAGTTTCTTCACCTTCTTTTTTTTCTTTTATAAACTACATATGAAGAACAAAAGAAAGATAAAATCTAAAAGGTAGAAATTAGATGTACATTTTATGTTCACTTTTACCCTCACTACGCAAATTTTATCATTGCATCAAAGACTGTGATTTTATTCGATGATTTCTTTTGATTTATTTAATTCAAATTTTTTAATTTTGTAATCTAAAGATAAATATTGCGATTCATCAATTAAAACATGGAAAAATAAATAGTTTAGATACGCCAACTCCTAATGAAGTTTAAATATCAACTCCTTGAAAATAAATTTGAGTTGATCAAGTATAGAAGTCGTTACTAGGATAATTCGACAATACTAGACAAGAATGAAATACAGATGATTTCGTGGCAATCAGCACTAAAATGAAACTGACAGACCTCAGAGAGACTACATTAAAGTAAAAAACAAAAATAAGAAGAATATATATATATCTATAGAGTGATGTAGTTTTCTTTTCTCGATTTCTTTGTTATAACTTATCTCTCTATTTCATTATCCTTATTTTCTCCTTTCGTCCATTTATATGGCGTGATTTTCCTCGTCCTTTATAGAATATGGACCTGAACCTTTTCGCGGTATGTTTTTTCTGTCCCATTGATCCGATCCAATACCGTTCGCACAGTGGGCATTCAGGGGGAAATTTGAGCAAAAATCGACAAATGAGGTTTTTTGGATTCGAACAGTAGTAAATGTAGTCCTTGAAAAGCGCTATCGAATAGTATATAATGATCGACTAGTAATGAACTCCTTCGGTGAGTAAATTAACTTACGAACATTCACAAAAAACACCGTCAAATATGACACATCTGCAAAGATTCTTATTTCTATGTACTATTGAGCTTTTAAAAATCGATACAAAATCTCATAGACCCATCCTTCTTCCGAACGAGAACGATAGGCGACGACCACGGAGAGGTGGATTCCTCGATTATTCCTTGTTTTAATAATTTATTAATTTCATCACGCTGTATTTCTCATCTTTATATGAGACTCGATATACTGGAGTATATACGGGTGGATTATTTCCTGTTTCGATAGCATGACGAACTGTTGTTTTGATTATAGATGGTTGCCGCAGATCAAATAATTGTCCGTGTCGCCATAAAATTTGTTGTACTTGTTGTCGTTGTTTCGGGTTTTCGATATGTCGTGTCAACCTCTCGATCTGTTCGCGGATATCTGACAGACAACATTGTTGACGAAGGTGTTTCTGTAAATCGTTACTGGGTAAAAAGGTTTCTTGACAAACATAACACCGATGTACACAGTAATCATCTTGTTTTGCTGTGTAGGAAAAATCCGCCGGACGGACTTTGCATTCCTCCGAAGATGGCGAGTCACAGGAACGACTCATTAAATTATGGTCATTCCTCCCATAGGCGAATAATGGTGGACACAGGATTGGCCCGATAGTCGAACGTTCCTCTTATTCAGTGTCATTGGTATTGTGAGACAGACATTGGATTCCGGTTGATATGATATTGCACCTAATCGCGTATTTTTGAATAATGTCCGTTGACGATCAGAGGCGTTAATGACTGACTATAATCCGTGTTTTGTGGTGCTCAGCCGCAATCAATGCATTCGCTGCTAATATTGATTTGGAGTATAAGTGGAATGTCGATTCGAACATAACATTGTTAACATTACCAAAAAATGACAGGGACTATTACATCAATACATTGTTCGGAGTATGATGGAAGGGCAATTAAAAATACAGGAAAACGAATATCGGGAGGTTCGACAAACGGTGTATATGCTATTATCTTGTGACATTTGTTGACTAGATTAACACGTTGCTGTGGAGAATCAATAATAACTCTGTTTTGTTTGATCCAATCAGTTCCAAGTAATAAATCTGTAACGAGATTTGTCGCGACATCGGCAACTATCCATGTTTTATGTCCCTGTATTTTGATCTCAAGATGAATTTCGCCGATAATATTAACAGATGTACAACTGGCCGATGCATGGATTTTGCGTTTGTAAATAAATTTCTTATGATGAATCTTCAATAATTGTTGGTGGATGATGATGCCCGCGGATCCCGTATCGATTATAGCATGTTGGGGTGTTTGATTTACTTCTTTGATGTAAATGGGACTCGATGATTTGTGGGATGTTATTGATGGATTTTGTATACTGGAATGGCCACCATCACGGGTTCCAGTTAGTGAAAAACCTGTGGACAATCGCGTAATCGATGGCCGGAATGTCTACAATTGTAACATCTATTCGATTTTTTGTAATAGCAATCAATTGTACGTTGTTTGATTCGATGACAGATGAAGCAAGGATCATACTGCCGTGTGTGTTGATGCAATGTGTCGGGTGATGCATTATTTGTGCGTTGTGATTGTCGTGTATTATTAAATGAACAAAAGCAGGGAAAAAGCGAGCTCATTTATTGTCATTCTATATTTGACTATGTATAGTTTCAAATTTGACACACTCATTTACACTCTTTCATTC